TCAACCCCCCCGCAGCCCCTCCCGGTCCCTCAACACCCCCGCATCCCCTCCCCGGGCCCCCTCAACACCCCCGGATCCCCTCCCGGTCCCTCAGATCCCCCCGGCACCCCCGAGCTCTGCTGCCACCCCAAAACCGCGGGCCTCAAACCCAGCCGAGGGGAGCCCCCCCAGATTTTACTGCACCCCCAAAATTACACCTTTAATCCTTTTCCTCCTCCTCCCCCCGCCCTCAATCCGCCTGCCCACAGAAAGCCGGAGCCGGCTGGAGGTGGAAAACAGGCCCGTGCGAGGCTGGGAAAACGGGGAAAAACAGGGAAAAAAGAACAAAAAAAAGGGACAAAGTAATAAGGGAGAGAGGATAAAAGGAAGGTCAGATTAAAAAAAAGAAGAAAAAGGGAAAAGGAAGACGAGAGAAGCAAAGGAGGAGCGCGAAGGAATAAAAAAGGATTAAAGAAGGGGAACGGAGGGAAAAGCAGGAAAAAAAAGAAGAAACAGAAAGAAAGAAAAGGGAATAAAGGAGGAAAGAAGAAGGAAAAAAAGCAGGAGAAAAGGTAAAAGGAGGTTCAAAGGGTTAAAAAGGCGGGATAAAGTGGAAAAAGAAGGGGAGAAGGAGGAAAAAAGGGAAAACAAGGGGAAGGTAATAAAGAAAAGGAGGGGAAAAAGAAGGAAGAGCAAGGGAAAAGGAGCGAAAAGAAGGAAAAAGGAAGGAAAAGCAGGAAGGGACGGCAGGGCGGGATCCGAGCGGGGCCGCGAGTGGGAGTTCAAATGCATCGAGTTCCCTTGGGTCTGCTGAACTGCTCTGCATTTTATTTTATTTTATTTTATTTTATTTTATTTTATTTTATTTTATTTTATTTTGTTTTATATCCCTCCCTCGTTTTACGTCTCCGTTCGTGTAATTTCGTTTCAGTTCACGCCGATTTCTGTTCTATTTGTTTGTTATTTAGTGTCAGTTGATAGCAAATGAGCCTGTATGTCTGTAGTTAATTACTTAATTACCCACGCTGTTCATTTATCTGTCTGCTCACCTGTCAAAAGGTTTTCCTGGCATTTATTTAATCAATAAAACTCCTTATTTATCAGCTCAACCCCCTGTCTGTCAGGACTGTTTGTTATCTAGATTATTTTATTTACCCATGCCTATTTATTTATTTACTTAATTTTTAAAATATTTATTTCTGTTATTTAATAGGTGTTTGTTTGTTTGCAGGGGTTTCCAGAGGGCCCAAGACCAAGATTAGGGGCTCAGAAGATTGCTGGTGAGCTGGGGGGACTGGGGTAGCCAGGGGCAGGAATCCCAGGGTTTGAGAGTGGAATTGGACAATTTTCTTGATTGTCCAAATCTCTTGCCTTTTTCAAAGCCAAAATCTCGAACTCATTTGTCTGTTTAAAAGCCAAATTTCCAATTTTCTTGGCTGTTTAAACCCCAAATCTTCCAAATCTCCCCATAACTTCAAAGCCAATGTAAAGAAATATGGGAGAAAAAACCAGAAATCTCAGCTAGACGGGGCCGACTGGGCTATGATATAAATATATCTATTTCTGAGTTTCCTTCAAATTCCCCAACTTTCCCTCCCAGGGCTCAGATTTGGGATGTGGCTGCTCCTGGACAGACCCCGAGCGTTCCCAGGAGCCTGATCCAGAAGGTCCCATGGAGCAGCAGGGGACAATTCCAGCCTCTCCTGGCGGCGAGGGGACCCCCCAGCCCCCCGAGGGTGGGGACGGAATTCCCGGTGTTGGGGACACAATTCCCGGTGTTGGGGACACAGTTCCCGGTGTTGGGGACACAGTTCCCGGTGTTGGGGATGGAATTCCCGATGTTGGGGACACAGTTCCCGGTGTTGGGGACGGAATTCCCGGTGTTGGGGACACAGTTCCCGGTGTTGGGGACACAGTTCCCAATGTCAGCCGGGAGAGCCCCGCTCCGGCCGGGGAAGGTGTCGGGGCTGGATCTGGGCAGCGGGAGGGGGTGTCCGGCCCCGAGGGACCCCCGGGGGGCTCCCCCGAGGGGCCACGGGAGGAGCAGCCCCTGCAGGAGGGGGGGTCCCCGCTCGGGGGGTCCCCGGGAGCCGCAGCCGAGCCCCCCCGGGCCCGGCGCCCCGGGCGGGACGAGGATTTTTACTGCGTCAAGTGGATCAGCTGGAAAGGGCAGCGCACACCGGTGGTCACCCAGAGCGAGAACGGGCCCTGCCCGCTCCTGGCCATCATCAACATCCTCCTGCTGCAGTGGAAGGCAAGAGGGCTCTGGGGGGGCTCTGGGGGGGCTCTGGGGGCTCTCCCCAAATCCCAAGGGGAAGGATCCCCACCCTCCTCTGGTTCTCCCAGGTGAAGCTGCCCCCGCAGAAGGAGGTGATCACGGCCGAGGAGCTGATGGCACATCTGGGTGAGTGGGGGAATGGGGTGGGGGCTGCACTGGGACCCCCACGTTCCCAGCGCCGGGACTGGGCTGACCCCGCTGCCTCGCAGGGAATTGCATCCTGGCCACTCAACCCCGCGACACCTCGGAGGGGCTGCAGCTGAATTTCCAGCAGGTGAGGAGCAGCCCCAGAACATCCAACCCCGCTGTCCGGGGAGCTCGGCTGGCCGCAGGATTTGGGGTGGCACCTTCTGGAGCAGCCCCCCCGTGTTCCTCCCGCCCACCAGAACATCAGTGACAGCATGACGGTCCTGCCAAAGCTCTCGACGGGGCTGGACGTCAACGTGAGGTTCACGGGGGTCTCAGACTTCGAGTACACCCCCGAGTGCATCGTCTTCGACCTCCTCAACATCCCGCTCTACCACGGCTGGCTGGTGGACCCCCAGGTGAGTCCCCCCGGCTGGCCGGTGGCTTCCCCGGGGCCACAGAAGTGATGCCAGGGCTGGAGACCTGTGAGGAGCTGGGGCTCGTCCCGGGCAGGGTGAGCAAGCCGAGGATGGATGTCCCATCCCTGGGAGTGCTCAGGGCTGGGTTGGACAGGGCTTGGAACAAGCTGGTCTACAGGAGGTGTCCCCACCTGTGGTTTGGGGTGTCCAGATGATCCCAGAGAGTCCCAACCCAAAGCCCTCGGTGATGTTTTGAACCTGAGCCGGTGGATGACTCCTCTGGCCGTGGCAGGAGGTTGCACTGGGTTGTGTTTGCAGGTCCCTCCCAGACCCCTCTGCTCTGGCTCCATCCCCAGCAGGAGCTCACCCCCTTTCCCTGCCCTTTTCCCGCAGAGCCCGGAGCAGGTCCAGGCCGTGGGCAAGCTCAGCTACAACCAGCTGGTGGAGAAGATCATCACCTGCAAACAGGCCAGCGACTCCAGCCTGGTGAGCGAAGGTAACGCCCCCGTCCCTCCCCGCGGTCCTGGGGGGCTCGCTGGGCGCCCCCGGCCCCGCCACGGCCCCGCTGTCCCCGCAGGGCTGGTGGCCGAGCAGTTCCTGGAGTCCACGGCGTCGCAGCTGACGTTCCACGGGCTGTGCGAGCTCACGGCCCGGGCCCGCGAGGGCGAGCTCGGCGTCTTCTTCCGCAACAACCACTTCAGCACCATGATCAAGCACAAGGTGTGCCCCTGACCCCCTCGGGCCCCCCAGAACGCCCACCCGGGCTGAGCGTGCCCTGTCCCTTCTCGCCAGGGTCACCTTTACCTGCTGGTGACGGACCAGGGCTTCCTGCAGGAGGAGGGGGTGGTGTGGGAGAGCCTGCACAGCGTGGATGGGGACAGCTGCTTCTGTGACACCGAGTTCCACCTCAGCCATGCCCCGGGCAAGGACGGGGCCACCGCGGGCCCCCCGGAGCACCGGCTGCAGCAGAGACAAGTGGACCAGGTAGGGGACAAGGGGTGGCAGTGAGGGACACCCGAGTCCCATCCCGGCTCCGCGGGGGGCCCGGCAGGGTTCGGGCTCGCGGTGCTGACCCCCCGTCTTTGTGCTCCTCAGGATTTCATGGTGGCCCTGTCCCTGCAGCAGGACCCTGCCTCGGCGCTCAGCGACCTGGAGCTGGCGCGGCAGCTGCAGCACGAGGAGTACCAGCAGCACCATCCTCATCCTCACCCCGCTCCTCCTCAGCCGGCGCAGGTAGCCAGGCGCCCCCGGGGTGTGTGGGGGTCTCTGCGGGTCCCCCCACACCCCAGCACTGTCCCTGTCCCCGCAGGCGAGCGGGCGTCCGGCCGGAGAGCGGTGGCAGCGGCCGAGGCCGGATTTGGACTGTGCCCTGCTGTAGCACCTGGTGTCCGGGGTCCCCACGCCCGCAGCCCCCCGAGCGCCCACCCTGCATCCTCCAGGGAGCTCTGTGGGGTCCCTGCAGGCCGGAGTGGACACAACGATGAGGGGTGACCGTCTGAGGCCACCCCAGGACCACCCCAAACTTCCCAGTGGCCTTAACACAGGGGGGTCCCGCTCAGGGTGAGCCCCCTCAGGGGGTCCCACACCTCAGTCCATGCTCTGGGCCATGGGTGGGTGTGGGGCTGGGGGCACATGTGCACCCCCCTGTTCAAAATGTGGCCTTAGCCCTTGGCAAGTAAAGGACTTGTTCCCCTGCACACGGATCTGGCACCCTGACACCACTGGGGGCTTCTGCGCGCCACGGACCCGCGGCTTGGGGGCATTTGGGGGGGATCCGGGGGGATTTGGGGTCACGGTTTGGGGTCCCCTCCGTGGGGTGCAGTGGCGCGGCGCGGCCGCCAGGCGGAGACAGGCGCGAGTGGGATCTATGGGGCAGAGATGGGGCGCTGGGGGGATTTGGGGGGCACACGGGGCTGGACAGGGGCGTTTGGGGGTGTAGGGCCTGCACAGGGGGGTGCAGAGGGACACAAGGGGTTCACATGGGGTGTGCAGGGATGGGCGCAGGGCACCCATACAGCTGGGTATAGGGCTGTGTATATGGGGCGCACAGGGCTGTCTATAGGGGTTGTAGCTCGGGTGTATTTGGGGTGTAGCTCGGGTGTATTTGGGGTGTAGCTCGGGTGTATTTGGGGTGTATGTGTGGGGCACCCCGGGGCCCATAGGGTGTGCACAGATCCCCTCTCGGCCGTTGATTGCTCATGCCTGGGCCCGCCCCGCTCCGCCCCACGGCGGGCGCCGCTCCCCGCGGCGTTGCGGTGACGTCACTCCCGGGTTGCGGTGACGTCAGTGCCGCCGCTGCCTGGCGCGGGGCGCGCGCGGGACGGAGGGGGCGAGCGGCGGCTCCGTGAGGGCTCCGGGCGGCGGCTCCGTGAGGGCTCCGGCGGCGGCGGCGGGTGAGTGCGGCCGGGGGGCAGCGGGGGCACGCGGGGCCCCCCCCGGCTCGGGAGGCGCCGCCCGGGGGGGGCCGCGGGATGGTTCCCGCCCGCCCCCCCCGCGCCAGGGCCGCGGCCGGGCCTTTCTGCGGGCGTTGGGCGCGCACCGGAGCCATCCCCGGCCTCCGTCACGGTCCGGCAGGGCCCCCGGGGCTGCTCGGGCGGGGCCGGGCGGAGCCGGGGCCCCCCGGGGCCGCAGCGAAGGCTCGGAGCGGCCTCGGGCCCCGCCGGGGCCGCTGCCCCCAGACCCGCAGTCCCCGGGCCCGGCTCCCTCCCCGTCCCGTTTCTCTGTCCGCGACTTCCTAAAAACGTCGGGATTTCGTCCGTTTCCAGCAGGATCGCTCCTGAAATCAGCTCTAGGGGAGGGGTCCGGCCTGTCGGTGACCCCCTCCTCCGCCGGTGTCCCCGGTGCCGGGACATCGCGCTGTGCTGCCGGTGCTCCGGGGCAGGAGGAGCTGCCGGCCCTGACCGGGGCCTCACCCCGTCCTCCCACGCTCCCCTCCCGTTACCTGCCCGCGGCACAGCCCCGGGAGTCGGGAATTGCGGCACCTCCCTCCCGCCTGCCCTTGCGAAACCGGCCACGGTGGTTCCTCTTCCTCCCCCGGCGGAGCGGAGCCGCCCCGAGCCTCGCCGCGATCCCCGCGCCGCGCTGGGGATTCGCTTCCCGGGGCTGGGATCCCGTCCCGACCCCGCGGGGTTCCCCAAAACCGGGAGCGACGGAGAGCCGGGATGCGCTGACCCCGCGGCGAGGGGCGGCTCCCCCGCTCCCCCCGGCCGGAGCCTTTTTAAGGCACAAAGGTGCTCATTGTGCCGCCGGCAAATCCCTAATCCCGCGCTGCTGCTGCGCTGGGCCTCGGCAGGGTGCCGGTGGGCTCCGTGCCTCCTTTTCCCACCGGGAACTGGGTTTGGATCGGCCGCGGGATGCGCACACGGCTCTCGGGAGGGAAAACAGCGTCGGGGGCTTCTCCTGCTCCTCCTGCGCTGCAGAGCCGGGGTTGCCGTCCCGGAGCGGAGTCCCGGCTCTTCCCTCGGGCTGGTGGCCGGGACCCGAGCTGCCTGGTCCCTGTTAATGATCACCCTCCGACCTCTGGGCTGCAGGGGCAAAGTCCCTCGGTGCCCGAGCCCAGCGCCGGCCGCTCCGACGGGGATTTCACCGGGGCCTCCCCGGGAGCCGAGGTGGAAATTGGGGTGGCTGGTGCAGCGGGAGACAGGCCGGGGTGGGATCAGCCGTCTCCTCAGAGATGTCCCCCTCACTTCTCCCCCTTTCGCTCCCCCCAGCATGTTTCAGACCTTGTACAACTATTTTTGGTGGGAACGGCTCTGGCTCCCGGCAAACCTCACCTGGGCTGACCTGGAGGACCGGGATGGGCGAGTCTATGCCAAAGCCTCTGACCTGTACATCACCCTCCCCTTGGCCTTCCTCTTCCTCGTTGTCCGGCACCTCTTTGAGACGTGAGTCCCTTCCCTGGGGGTGGGGACGGATCCTGAGCCCCTGCTCCGGCTCTCCCCGTGCCCTGGGGGCTGTGGCCGAGCCCTGGGATGTGGCACCCTGTGCTCAGCCTGGCTGGGGGGTCCTGATCCCCCCTCCCCAAACGCACGTGCTCCCCCTGCCCCACACAAACACGGCTTTGTGCATCCCCCGCTCTCACCGGGCGTTTAGGGAGCGATTTGTTGGGCAAACAATGGGAACAGACCCGGCATTGTTGGGGTGGCAGGAGAAGGGGGGACTGCCCTTCAGCAGAGTGGGGACAGCCCGTGACAGAGGGCGTCGGGGGGCTCCCCTGTGGCACACGCGGGTTTGGGGGATCCGGGGGGATTTGGGGTCACGGTTTGGGGTCCCCTCCGTGGGGTGCAGTGGCGCGGCCGCCAGGCGGAGACAGGCGCGAGTGGGATCTATGGGGCAGAGATGGGGCGCTGGGGGGATTTGGGGGGCACACGGGGCTGGACAGGGGCGTTTGGGGGTGTAGGGCCTGCACAGGGGGGTGCAGAGGGACGGATAAGGGACATCCCCCCACCCTGGGGAAGGTGCAGCAGGATGGGGTGACCGAGGCACTGAGTGGTTGTGGATCCCTGGGTGGCTTTGATGGGGCCAAATCATCCAGGTGACAGAAATGGGGACATTTATGTCCCCAACTCCTTCCCCAGGTACGTGGCCACCCCCCTGGCCGGGCTCCTGAATGTCAAGGAGAAGGTCCGGTTAAAAGCCACCCCCAATGCGGTGCTGGAGAAGTTTTATGCTGCCACCAGCAAACACCCTAAGCAGGTGAGGCCTGGGGGGTCCCCAGAGGTGCCTGGGGGGGTGGGGGTGGCGGAGGCAGGGCTGTGTGACACAGGGGGGCTGTCCTGGTGTCCTCAGGCTGACGTGGAGATGCTCTCAAAGAAGAGCGGCTGCACCGTGCGCCAGGTCGAGCGCTGGTTCCGCCGCCGCCGCAACCAGGACCGGCCCAGCCTGCTGAAGAAGTTCCGGGAGGCCAGGTGAGACCCCCCTTCCTGCCTGAGGTCGCTGTCCCTCCACCCCGGGGGGCTCTGGGAGCCTCAGCTTGGCCGGGAGCTGCCTGGGAGGGTGGGAGACGCGGGATCCGGGGCCGGTGGGTCCGTCCTCTTCCCTCCTGCTCCCCGGTGCCCGGTCTGAGGACCGTCTGCTTCCTTTTTCCAGTTGGAGATTCACCTTTTACCTTATTGCTTTCATTGCTGGCATGGCTGTCATAGTGGATGTGAGTATTGCCCCCCTCCCGTGCTCCCCTGGCCCCCTCAGCCCCTCTGACTGCTCTGTCTCCCCCTCCCCATCCCACAGAAACCCTGGTTCTACGACCTCCGGGAGGTGTGGAAGGGATATCCCATCCAGGTGAGCACCAACCCGTCCTGGCTGCCAGCCCGCTGGGCACCAGGATCAGCAGAGGCAGCTGGGGGTGCAGGAGGGTCTCTTGGTCCCCCTGGAGGTTTGGGGGTCCCCAGGACACCCGGATGGTGCCCACAGAAGGGGACCAAACCCCTGTGGGGGCACAGAGGACGCCCCCCAACCTGTCCCTTGTCCCCAGAGCGTGCTGCCCTCCCAGTACTGGTACTACATGATCGAGCTCTCCTTCTACTGGTCCCTGCTCTTCAGCATCGCCTCCGACGTCAAGCGCAAGGTGGGGGCTCTGGGAGGGGTGGGAGTCGCTGGGACACCTTGGCAGGGTTTTCCTCACGCTGGTGGTGGGCAGGAGGATGTGGGGACACGCAGGTGGGATCCGGGCTGCCGTAACCCCCCCAGCGCTGGGCTCCCCTCTGCTTTGGGCACAGGATTTCAAAGAGCAAATCATCCACCACGTCGCCACCATCATCCTCATCAGCTTCTCCTGGTTCGCCAACTACGTCCGTGCAGGGACGCTCATCATGGCCCTGCACGACTCCTCGGATTACCTGCTGGAGGTTGGTGTGTCCCCCTCCCCTCTGTCACCGCGTCCCCCGTCCTGCGCCCCCCGCCCGGCTCACCCCCGCTGCCCCCCCAGTCTGCCAAGATGTTCAACTACGCCGGGTGGAGAAACACCTGCAACAACATCTTCATCGTCTTCGCAGTCGTCTTCATCATCACCCGCGTGGTCATCCTGCCCTTCTGGTGAGCTCCGGGGGGAACGGGGGGAAACGAGGCAGGGTTTGGGGGGTGTCAGGGGGGTGGGATGCTGGTTCTGCCCCGCGACTGGAGCGGCTTTTCCTGGCAGGATCATGCACTGCACCATGTTCTATCCGCTGGATCTCTACCCCGCCTTCTTCGGCTACTACTTCTTCAACTTCATGATGGTGGTGCTGCAGTCGCTGCACATCTTCTGGGCCTACCTCATCATCCGCATGGCCCACAAGTTCGTAACTGGAAAGGTCAGAGGGGACCTGGGCCCACGGGGACGCCACGGGGGTGGACGGAGGATGGGGCTCGGCAGGGGGAGACCCCCAGATCCTGAATCCCGACTGTGGTCGCAATGGGGAAACTGAGGCACGGCAGGAAGATGGGGGGCGGCTGACCGAACCCCCTCTGCCCGCAGGTGGTGGAGGATGAGCGGAGTGACCGCGAGGAGACGGACAACTCTGAGGAGGAGGAGGAGGTGGCCAAGAACGGGCCCCTCTCCAATGGCCACCCTGTCCTCAACAACAACCACCGCAAAACCGACTGAGTGCCCCGGACCCGAGAGCTGCCACCTCGTGCCACCGGCCCGGCCCCTCCGGCCGCTCCACGCCGGGACCCCGGAGCGCCTGCCGGGCCCCTCCGGAGCGGGGCCGCAGCTCTGCCTCACTCTCACCGCTGGTGCCCTTCCACCTCTCACCTGCTGCCTTAATCCACTGCGGTTCCCGGGGCTGGCGGGGACCCCGCCGGGAGGGCTCCCGTCCCACCGGGGCGGCTCCTGCCCACCCCGCAGCCCCTCGGGTTGCTCTGGCCAAAGAGCTCGGCCCCAGCCCCTCGCTGGGCTCTGTGTTATTCCTGATTTCCCAACCATTCCTTCACCGGGGGAGGGGAAAAGCCCCTTTCTCTGAGCTGTGTCCGGCTGGAACAGCCGGCTCAACCCCTGCTCCGCCCAACCGGGAGGGAGGAGCGGGGAATCCCTGGGTGTTCAGTGCCTGAATGATGGGATGACACTATGGAAGTGCTTGGGGGAAGGAAGCTCTGGGGCTGAGTCACTCGTTGTGTCTCACAGAGTTTAATCCTCTCATTTCGGTAAATGGATTTTGAGTTTCTCCCTCTCTGGCCTCTCCCAGCTGTAACAGGACAAATTTCCAACTGATTTTTCCTTATTTCTTCTTTTTTTTTCTTTCTATTTATTTGGAAGACAGAAGGAGCCGGGCTTGGCTCTGTCTCCTGCATCCCTCGGGATGCTGCGAGACCTCCCAGCACAGAGGGGTGGGGGGGAAAAAGGACCATGAACCAATGCCAGACCAAAATGTGTTTTGTTGTTCTCGTTTTTAAAAAAAAAAAATAAAAAAAAAATAAAAGGTTAAATATATTAAAAGTTAAAAGAACTAATAAACTTGGGTAAAAAAAATACAGGATTTGGGCATATTCTGTGAGTGGCACAATGGCCCTGGGGTGGAGGCATTAGATGGGTTTGGCACAGATCCTTTAGGCAGAGCTAAAAATGGGCAGTGTTGAGGATTTTGATGTTTTTTATATATTTTTTTTTCTCCTTAAAGTTCTCCAAGTCTTCAAGCCCAGGCTGGAGCGTGGGTTTGGGTTCTCTGAGGAGCTGCGGCCCCGCTGGGATGACAAAGCCTCCATTCAGGTGGACGCTCGGGATGGAACTGGAGCTCCAGGAGGCCCCAGAAAGGTTTTATTTTACAAAGGAAAACCAAGGTTATTTAGCAGGAAGGAATCCAACAAGGCTCCCTTGTGCAGGGCTGCCTCGAGCGGGGCTGGTGTTGGTTACGGGGCTGGGATGTTGGAACTGATCCACCACCCCCAGGCTGGGCTTTCCCATCTCGGTCAGGTCAGGTTTGATCCCCGGCTGAACAACTTCACCTCTTCCATCCATTCTCAGGGTGGCTTTTTGAACTTCTGGATGTGCCCCAGTGCCTTCCCTCCTTCCCCCCAAACCAACACGAACCCCAAGCCCCACAGCTGGCACCGTGAGGCTCCAGACCCTGCTGATTTTCCGTGTGGATCCGTGTCCAGCGGGGCTGTCCCGGCTCACTGCAGGAGCTCGGGGGCTCCCAGTGACGTCCTGGGAGGGCTGTGGGTGGGGAGAGGCACCAAATCTGCTTCCTCAAGAAAATCCCAACCTGTTCCTCTGCAATTTTCCCAGGTGGAGGGTTTAAGGAGTGTTTGTTTGGAGGAAAGGTGAAGGAAAGGTGAAAATGTGGGAGCTCCTTATCCCTTTGCCTGGGCCCATCCACCTCTGGCATTTTTCCTGCAAACCCCACAGAAACAAGGATGATGGCAGTGGTTCAACCCTTCTTTTTCAGGGCTCTTTGCTGTGTCTCAAGATCAGGGTAGGTTGTTTTGATAGAAAAAGACACTTTTACTGATTTTTAGCAACTAAAAGATTCTTTACAATGGCTCACAGGCAAAGACAGGTACTTACTTTTTGTCTTTTTTCACTTGAATTCTATAAATCCCAATTGGTCCAGTTCTTCCAGGGATTCTTTCCACCACCCTCCCTCCTACTTTCAAGGCCTCTGTGCCAATTAGAAAGCACTTGCTGGGAACACTGGACAAGTGCTTGCTGCTGGAAAAAATTACTTTGTGCCTTAAATTTGGTGGAAAACTGGAGCAGAGCAGGAAAAGCTCCTTCCTCGAGGGAGCCCAAGGTGGGAGAAGCCCAGGGGCTGGGAATCGCCGCCCAGCACAGCCCGAGTCCGTTCCTGCTCCATGTCCATCTGTGATTTTCCAGGTGAGTGGCAGAACTGAGAACCTCTTGAGAAGGAACTTTACCCTCGCTGAGGGAAAGCGAGCAGCAGGCCTCTGGAGGAGCGGGATCCGCTGGGAGCAGCGGGCTCAGAGCAGCCGGCCCCGGCAGTCGATGGCCCCGCAGCAGCACAGCAGCTCCTTGCCCTCCACGCTGCCGACCTCGTAGTTGTAATCCCAGGTCAGCTCCGTGCCGGCTCGGATCCGCCTGGGAAGGAAAGAACCAGACGGGATGGGTGAGGAGACTGTGCCAGGAAAGAGGAGAAACTGGGTGATAAAAGGGAGACACGCTTCCGTGTGGGTGCTCCAGGATGAGGCTGGGACAGCCAGGGAGGAAGGGACAAAGTTCCCTGGTGAATCATTCCCGTGAGGATTCCTGGAGGAGCAGAGAGGAACATGGCAGGGATTCACCACGACTCAAAGATTTGGGACTGAAACAACAACGGAGATTGGCTGCTGCATGCCTCACTCTGCCCTTTGGGAAGGTCTAAAACTGGTGGAAATGACAGCAGGATCTCCAGCATGAGAGGATTTCACCAACACCAAGGTTTCCTCTGCACAGGAATGATGGGAAACTGGGAATGGGGTTTCCAGGAGCAGGGAACAGCCAGCCCTGGCCATGGAGCCAGGTCCCACCAAAGCCCAGGAATCCTCAGCCCTTCCCAGCACTCCAGGACTCACTTGCTGGCGAAGAAGGCGACCCAGGGGAAGCGAAGGTCGTGGGTGTCCACGAAGACGTTCTGCACGAAGAGGTTTGGGGTGCAGCTGTGCTGTAACGGCAACGGGGACGAGCCTGAGCTGCTGCCCGGGCAGGGAGGCCGAGCTGCCAGCACCGAGCACAGCCTTTATAAACAAGCAGCATTCCTGGTGTGCCGCCGCATCCAGCGGAATCCTGCTGGAACAGGCTGCACGCCCGGGCCGAGTCACAAGATCCACACTCTAAAGGTACCGGGCTCTGGAAGGACTGACGGCGCTGCTCCTGCTCCCACCAGCCCGAGCAGCTGCTGCTCCACTGGGGAAGGCGCATCATCCTCTGAACCTGCTCTCCTCCCCACTTGTCCCGTTCTCAGCCAGTCCTGGGGAGGAGCAGCCCCCCGGGCAGCCCCGAGGTGTCCCTGTGCCCCACTCACGTTGAGGTAGCGGCCCAGGTTGCCCTCGAGCTTGGCGTCGATGATGTAGCAGTTCTCCTCCCCGTCGTAGAACTGCCGCGTGCTGCGGCGCACGGGCCCCGCGCTCTCGCCCTTGTCGGCCGCCGCCAGCGGCGTGGATTTGATGGCGATGCCGTGGGTGGACTTGAGGGCGAAGCCTCGGGTGGATTTCACAGCCACCTGTCTCTTCACAGGACCTGCCACGAGACGGGGCCTTCAGCAGAGGAACCGGGCAGTGCTGTCCCTGCTGCTCCGCTCGGAGGTGACAAACCCCTCAGAGCCAGAGCAGCGCTCCAGGACGGCCCCTGGAATCGCCCCAGCCCAGCCTGCAGACCCACTGCAAAGCCTCCCTGTTAAATATCTGCTTCTGAGGAGCGGATTTTGCAGTTTTATCTTGCCAAACTCGTGGGGAAGGTTCCAACCTCAGCTGTGGGACACAGCAGGAGCAGCTGCTATGGCCTCACGAGCCCTTCCTGGTGCCTTCCAACCAAACCTTCTCAGCCTCAGCCCTCGTCTCCCTCCTCACCTGACCCAGATGATGGGTTTTTCTTGTCCTCCCCTTCCTCCTCCTCGGATCCTGAGGAAATGGTCTGGATGTCGTCGCTGTCGTTGGCGGTGCCCGGGGCCTGCCCTGCCCTGTGCTCCCCTTCGCTGTCGGTGCTGCTGGAGAGCGTCAGCACGTCCTGGGGACACAACAGCTCCTGCAGAGCATCCGAGCCTCCCTTCCCCAGGAATACGGAGCTCTCCTCCAGCTCACCCCTCTGCCCCAGGAACCCCCCCAGAAGGGGATCCCCCTCTGGGTGCCACAGCCCACAGGTCAGTGTTGGGAGCACCTGTGGGGTTCTGGGGGCTGCCGAGTTCTCCTTGAGATCCTGGAGCATTAGGTGCTCAAAAGGAAGGGAGAAGACCCCCAGAAACAAGGATTGTTCCCCAGGCTGGCCTCCCCCAGATGGCTCTGCCAAACAATGGGTCCTGGGTGTGCACACCAAGGTGCCAAATCCAACCCAAATTCCACAGTCTCCTTTTTTCGATGCTTCAGGTCCACGAAAAACCCCCAAAATCCAAAGGAAATCAACTGCCCTCCAGAAAACCACAGCTACAACCACAAACCCTGCGCTCACCTGGGAACCAAAGGCAGAAAACGCCCCAAAGAAGGCTCAAGGTCGCTATGGAAGCGGTTTGGGGAGGAACCTCGCAGCCCACTCACCTCTGACGGGGTTGGCAGGGCCAGGGATCGCCGGCGGCTCTGCAGCAGCAGCGTCCCGCTCACCGGCCTGCGGATCCCCTCCAGCTTGGGGGGACAGGGGTTGTAGCCGTACCTCCTGCCCAGGCTGCTCAGCCTGGGGGTCGGGACAAGAGCACGTCACGCCTGGATTTCCAGGGAAATTGTCCACAGGACAGGAAAACACGAGTTAAGGAATCTTACCCAGGAATTTTGGTTGATTCTTCAGGTTCCTGCGGAGGGGAGAAGCACAGAAGATTGCAGAAGACTGGAATCTCTCCCTCCTCGAGCGCTCTCCAGACTTTCTATGGGATTGTTCCCCAAAATGCCAGCCCAGGAGAGAGATGCTGCCTGTCCCCACGCTCAGTGTGACACCCAGAATGGAGAGGCCCCTCCCTGGGGGACTCT